TTGTGATTTAGAAGGACCATGTCACAAACAATGTCATCAATGGATCAGAGGTGGGTCTGTTAGGAAGGATACAGGTCAGAGAACTATTGTAGAAATCCAGGAAAAGGGTAGAAGGACCCCCAAAAAGCCAGGCCAGGGTAGTGAGAAGGCTGAATCAGAAAAAAAAAGTTTTTGATTGTGATGACTCTAGGAATGGGGAAACTTTCTGGTTTGGTTGGTTGGCTGGAAGAGGTCACTCACAGCACATCACAGAGACTGGTGCAGGTCAAGCAGGTTTGGGTGTACTGGTTGGTGCAACACATGGGAATGGAGGGGGTGTGTGGAGGGGAAGATGGTAAGTTCAAGTAGCATCATGATGACCCTGAGATTCCCATGGAGGCTACTGCAGACGATTGGATAGATGGGTCTGCAGCTCAGGACAGGGTTGCCAGGGTGACAGTATATAAATTCTACTCTCTTTTCAAACATGGTTCCTAGGCTAATGTACTTCTCATGTCGTCATATTGAGAAAATACCTTCCAGTAGTTCCTTCAGCTTTCGATGAACTATTTCCATCTCACCCACAAATTTGGAGCCATCGTTAAAATAGAATCTAAACTGAGGCACACTTGAGAACAGAAAGAAGAACTATCTCCAAAGTAGACCCTAGAAGCTTTTGTGATTGATTATTTTGAGGGGCGGTGGTATTTGAAGTCAGAGGATGGGGAGATAGGAAAAGGAAATGATAACACTTTCCAAAGCTGACCTTTCTGTCTATACTTCCTTATTTATTTTTTTTTTGTTCCAACTTGAGGCAAAAAAACAGCTAGTTTTTGCAGAAACAGCATTTCTGGGAATGTGTACTTCTTCCATTTCTCTTTCTTCCTTTCTGGTCCCTTACTCACCTGCACACTAAAATTCAGTATATGCAGTACAATTATAGAACTTGTCTGTATGTTATCACGGGCCTCCCTGTTATCTCTTAGATCAAGGTGGGACTTCTCACTCTGCCACCTGAAGCCACTTTTTTCTCGGGCCCTCCAGCTTGATTTCTCTATTTGATGAAATGCTGTCCAACGTTTATGGCCTATTTTGTCCCATGTTTAGTAATGATAACACTCAGATTCTGGCCCATAGAACTTTCTGAGATGATGAGCAATAGAGCTTTCTGAGATGATGGCTATGTTCTTTATCCGTGTTGTTCACCACTCTAGCCACAAACCACATGGGGCTACGGAGCACTTGAAATGTGGCTGCTGTGACTGATCAACTGAATTTAATTCATTTTCCTGTAGATAATCACTCATGGCAAGTGTCTGCTGTACTGGGCAGCACAATGCGAGGGGATGTTCTTTCTCTTTCTACTAGAGTAAGGGTGGGTTTCTGACTTAACGGGCCAGAGTGTTCTGTATCTGTCTTCCCACTTTGCCTCCTTGGTCTGCCTGCAGCACCCTCTTCAGCCCACAACCTGGTTCAGAAACCCTTCCTGCAGGGCTGGGAGCGTGCACTCAGTGTGCAACCTCTGGATCACAAGTGAAGCTTATCATAGTTATTATTTTCATTATGAGAAACAGTTCCATTAATAGTAACAGATTTCTTTGTTTACTTTATCCGGGAACAAGTCACACCCACAAAGAGAGACTGTTCCAAGGAGCTAATAAGGAAAGTTAGTCGAAACCAAGCCAAACTTAAGCCCCAGCAGGCTTTCTTCCTTGATCTTTCAGTCATCTCATGGTATGCCTGGCTGATGAGCAACACGGAGGACTGGGATGAAAGATGGACCTGAATAGGACAAAAAGCTCCCCTGCTTAGTCACTGCTCATTGGAACCCCAGATGTCATCTCCCCCATGTTTGGGCCTAATTTCAGCAGTGTGGAGCGTTTTGCACTGAGCCATCCACACTCTAAATCTTAACACATGACCCAGTGACCACAATCATACCACCTACACTGGGCATGGTGACAGGCACTCAAGAAATGCTGGGTAGATGTATGGTGAGCAGCACCACGTCTGGAATTTAAGAGATGGTTAGTCAAGGCCTGGACAATATGCAGGCAGACAAGGTGGCAACTAAACTCCTCTTGCCCAGATCTAACAACATGAGATCCTCATACCTACCTTTGCTAGGATATTCTGCAATGCACAGATGCTTCTAGAGGAAGGTTTTGTTCTTATGTGTGTTTGTTTTTGTCAGTGTTGTTTTTGCCACAACAAAGCATAAAAAATCTCCCAAAGCTAATGATAGAAGAATATCTCAGCAAATATTCTGTGGTGTTAGTTCTCTTCAATCTACAGTGTCTTTTTTGCTCCTGCTCCCCACAACCCACTTCTTCAATGCCATTTGAGACCTTTAGCTTCTCCTATCTTCTATAGAGATTCTAATGATTTTCTTGGGTTTCTGGGTGTAGCCCATGAAGCTCAAGTCCTTGTAATCACCAGGTGGCATCTGTCTGTTTTCCTCCTCTCCTGTGCTGGCTCCATAGGTGATGTGATCACCCAGAAGCCAAATGAGGACTTTGCATTATGCCCCTGCTACAAGGGGTCCCTCCCTCCTGAGTCTAATGTTGCTTCAGCTTCATGGTTACAGAAGTCACACTGGGCTGGGCCACACAGAGGCTATACCTAGGTGGGAAGAATCCCCCAGCATTTGCCACAACGCCTCACTCTTCCACCTCTTTTTTGTGTGTGTGAATCATTCTTTTCATCTCTCCCTACTATTGGCTCTCTCTCTAGGGCAGATATGAGTCTTTGCAAGTTGTAGTCTCAGATCTAGGGAGACATAGAGCTGTACACAATTCTTTGGATTCCCTTCTCTCCATTGTATTCCTGCCAAAACCCTCCTGTGGTTCCTTCAGATCATTTGCACAGCCTTAGAGTAAGCGATTAGCCCATTTCTGTTCTACAGATGGTTACAGATGGAAGATCTGGGAGATAGCAGTTGACTAAGGAGCAAGATTTGAGAAAAAATTTAACTGGAATTCTAGGACACACAGATGTAAAGCAAACCCTTCATAATTGTGCTGACAAATTGTCATAAAAATGTCGGATTACTTTTTACTAGCGTTGAGTATATGCACTCTTATGATGACGCCTGTCCAACAGGCGTCGGATCAAGCGTATCTTTTCCCTTGTGTACAACATAGTATGACCTCTGCAGTCCCTGGTGGGAGGTAAGGGGTGACTGCAAGCTAGCCCCTGAGAATTAAGATGTGTGACGAGAACACAAACTCCTTGTGAGGGTCAAGGGAGCCCAGGTAGGGTAAAGTCCCCATCAGATGGCAGTACAGGATTGAAAGGTAAATGTAAATAGGGTGGTAACTCTGTATATGACCAGAGCCGATGGAAGAACGATTCTATAATGCCATATAAAATTTTGGTATTTGAAAGTATGTCACGAACATAAATAAAGCTTGAGAACCACAGGCCTGAAATGAAATAAAAGAAGAGAATCCAAAGCAACGGGGAAAGTTGACAATTCAATGTATTAGGGATAGGGATGTAGGAGGAGAGGAAGCTTGATGATGGAATGGCATTTTGAAATGGAGAGAGAAGTTTAAGGAGCCCCCAAAGCTGACCTCCATCCTGGCAGTAGGAAGTAAAGTCAGCTGTTGATAAAAGCAACATTTGCTACCTTGGCCTAGCGGTTGTACTAAGTGGTTTATATATGTAAGCTTCTTTAATCTTCACAATAATTTCCTAGAGTAGGGACTATTACTGTCCTAGTTTAACCAGTAAGGAAACTGAGACACAGAGAAGTTGCACAATGGACTCGGGGTGAAAGTGCCAGGGAGGGAAAAACTGGTCTCTAACCAGGCGAGATACGCTGTGGGGAGAGTGGAGCTGGCTTAGTTCAGTTGTGAATGTTCTGGGAACTGGCAAAAGCTGAATAAAGGCATTGGAAGATGGAGACTTCCTCCAGCAGAGAAGAATGTAGACACTGGGGACTGGCAAGTGTGGAGCACCATGCAAGGTCAAGGAGACAAGGAGCTCCAGCGTGGTTTCGAGGGCACTGTTGAATGTCTGGGAAAGAAGGACGGTGAGGCTTAGAGGACGTGTTGAAATGGGAACACAGGCAGGGTGATCCATCACTGTGGAGGAAGGAAAAGGAGAGAGTTGTACTGGATGGGAAGGACCGTGGAGACAAACTGTGGACATTGGCCCTGATCCAATGACAGGCAGAGTTCTCGTGTAAAAACAAAAGCCAACGACACAATGCAGTGGATTGAGGGGTCTGGATTCAAATTCTGCATCTGTATGCTGCTGGCTGATTCATTTTCCTTTCGGACGCTTATGTGCTACAGCCACACGGGAGGGACAACCTGACTGAAAAGGGAGCAGGAGAGCAGCTACAGGGAGGTCCTTGGTCTAGCAGGAGGGGCTATAAACACTCTCAGTGGTCAGGGCACAGAATGGCCCTCAGTGACGCTGGTCAGAAAAACTCAGGAGGTGCCATCTGCCTGCATGCTGACTGTGTGGATGGCCGGTGCTTTGCGGGTCAGTCAGGGAAGGACTCTGTTTGACAGTGAGGCCCGAGCAACGCACACCAGCTCCTCCTTGATAAAAAATGCCCAGCGGCTTCCGGTGCCTGTGCAGCTGCGTGGGACTCACCCTGAACCCTCAGAGCGAGGCATTATTTTCTCCTCTCTCTTGTCAGATACTGACTCCCACGCAGGAAAAAGGAAGCACCTTTTGTCAAATGCTGCGGCCACTTCCTCTTCAGAAGTCTCCAGCCAATGTTTCGTTTTGCAGAATGAGGGGGCCAACCCCAGCTGCCGGACTGCGTACGCACTGGGCTGCTGGCTCTCACCTCCTTCTAGGTCTCAGTTCGGCTTCATCTGGACCTGTCGGCTGTGGGTCACCGGGGATTTTTTCTGATACAGATCTGGACTCTTGAGGTGGACCTGGCTGGGGCTCCACCCACCTCTCGGCCCCCTCGGGGGTTCCTCTCTCACCTCTCGACCCGCTCTTTGCACACTGCTTCACGTCCCTCAGTCAGACTGCCTGTCTATCCCTCTCCGCAGCTCGGTCAAGGAGTGTGATGACCGGTGAGCCGATGGCTGCCTTCCACCTGTCCTCCACCCCCAACCCGCTGGAAAGGCCTATCAAGATGGGCTGGCTGAAGAAGCAGAGGTCCATTGTGAAAAACTGGCAGCAGAGGTACTTCGTGCTGAAGGCACAGCAGCTCTACTACTACAAGGACGAAGAGGATACGAAGTCACAGGTACCAGCCAGGCTGTCTGTCCCCTTTCCCAGAGCTCCCGGGAAGCTCCCCAGAGCTTCCAGGCATGCGGGAGTGGGGTGTGGAGCCCAGCTAAATCACTGTAGACTCACTGGGCCCTTCTTACTAGGACTAGACACACACTTATCTGAGAGGAGGTTACTCTTTCCTTTTCAGCATTTTCTAGATACATACCCTGAGTTGCAAAGATGGCAGGGTGATGCTCCTCCAGGAAGCCCTGAGAACTTCCTAAACGCAGCTCTAAGTCAGGGCTGGCAACATGGTCTTGATGGTAATGCTGAGTACAAGGGCTCAGAGAGAGTAGATTTGGGTTTAGGAAAATTGATTTGGGGGCTTTCATTTATTTGTTTGTTCAATCAGTATTTATTGAGCATCTATTATGTGCCAAACCCTGTTCTGGGTGCTTGAAATAAACCAGTGAGTAACATAGATAAAAATCTGCCATGTCAAACTTAGAAGATGAGGGGGAAAGGCAGAGAATAAACATAATAAATAACAAAATTTATGTAGTTTGTTAGAAAATCACTAGTTCTGTGAGGAAAATCTAGAAGGGGTTAACAGTGGGTCAAGCATTTGGGAGAGGTGTTATAATTTTTAAAAGGGTGGACAAAATGATCTTATAAGGGGGTGACATTTGAGGAGGGAGACTTCTAGGGAGGAGAGACAAGTAGTAGGGCAGGTCTTGGGGAAAGAGCACTTTAGGCAGAGGGAATAGCCAGTGCAAAGGCCCTGAGTTGGAGCATGTCTGACCTGTATAGGGAAGAGCAAGGAGGTCAGGGTGTGGTCAGCACAGCTAAGGACCGAGAATCAGAAGTGCCGAGGTCAGAGAGGTGGGGGCGGTGTGGGAGGTGAAGGACTGGGACACAGACTGCAAAGGACATTGTATGTCATGGTAAGGACTGGAGTGTTTACACTGAGGGTGATGGGCAGAAAGGGGGAATTCTTTGATTTATGTTGCAAAAAAGATGGCTCTAGATACAGTGTTCAAAAATAGATTCATGGCCAGAGGGAGGAGTCACAAGGTGAGAGGTTATAATGTTTAGAATCTAAGCGGGAGTTGTGGGTTGGAGGAAAATGATCAGATTCCTGAATTACTTTGAAAGTATAGCTAACAGGATTTCCTGATATACTAAATGGGGCTAGAGCTGGCTTTGATTCTAAACTTTGGGCCTAGATCTTTTATTTTTTAATCCTCACCGAGGATGTATTTATTGACTTTAGAGAGAGAGAGAGAGAAAAACAGAGATCAGTTGTCTCTTATATACTCCCCAACCTGGGATTGAACCCATGACCTTGATATGTGCCCTGACCAGGAATTCAACCTACAGTGTTTTGGTGTAGGGGATGATGTGCCAATCAACTGAGCCACCTGGCCAGGGCTTGGGCTTAGATCTTTTGTCACAGCATCACTGGTTCTTTGTGGCCGTCATGGTACATGGGAATGAAAGGGGGTGCTATTAATAATTACCCTGAGACCCTGGGTATAAACTTTATGTCTTTGTGAAATCAGGATAACTGGTCACCCCATCTAGAGCACATGTCTCTGGAGGTAGAAGAGTGGGCATGACCAGAAAGAGCTTATTAGGGAAGACAGACTCTGCAACCTGCTGGACCCGTCCCCCCACTCAAAGCCTCAAGAAGGGTGAAGATATTGGGGGTACCTGGCAACGTATGTAAAGAAAGGAGACTGATTTTGGTAGATGACAGTTTTAAGGAGAGACTTAAGGATCCCTGAGGCATCAGCAGCAGCTGGTTAACAAGGTGCTCCACTGACGGCTGTGAGTGCCGGTCACTGCAGAGGCTGCAGAAGGGCCAGAGACCCCATCGCAGACTGGGTTCTTGCTCAGTGTCCTGTGCATTGTGACCAGACTTCCTTCCCTTTATGAACAACCCAGTTCTATTGGAGCTGGGTAATTACGGGCTCAGATGGTGGTGACTGGTACATTGATAGCTGATGCGGGAAGCCTTCCATCAGCAGAGAGTGAGGGAGATGAGGACAATGTGTGGGCCTTCCAGAATCAGAGGAAAGGACAGCTCAGTGGGATTTACTTCCATGGAATATAGAAGGTGAAATGAATGTTCTTTACAAGTTTGTGTTGTTTTTCTGGCTTGACTATCATCTGGTAATTACATTATCATCTGATAATGTAAATATTTAATTTTTTTGGATCCCTCTTTTTTTTTTTTTTGTAAAGTGAAGCAATCAATCTGGCCTGCATTTGTCACAGTATCAAATGATATAAAGCATGTGTAAAAAAATGCAGTTTTATAAAAGCATAAATTGATGTCAAAGGGTAAAATAATTTATTGAAGGTCCCAGCTTCTCTCCCTTACTTCTGGAGAAGGAAACCCAAAGTCCTCTCAGGATGACATTATCTTGAGATCATTAGATAAAGCTGCTTCTAGAATGGCAAGTGTGGTTTATTTTGTAGGAAATCTCTTAATATAAGGCATTGGGCCAAGAGATCAAGATGAATAAATCATATAAGTACAACTGCACAACCCCTAAATCGATGGGTATAAAAAGCTTTGGGTAAAATCAAGTACTCATTTAAGATAGAAACAGTTTTTTGAAAAAGTTTTTAGAAATAAAATGAATTTCTTAGAAAGAATATTTTACCTTAGGTAGATTTTTATTACAAAAGCTATATGTGTGCCTGGCAAGAAATTTGTAAGATGTGGAAAAACACAAGGTAAGAAATAAAAATTATCCCATCAGCAAAAATAATCACCCAAATTCTTACCTCTTTCACTTTCTTCTATATATACATACATTTAGACACTTGTTTATTTTTTTAAAATTTTATTTATTTATCTTTAGAGGGGAAGGGAAGGAGAGAGAGAAGGGAGAGAAATATCATGCATCCTGTGCTGGGACCTGGCCTGCAACCCAGGCATGTGCCCTGACTGGGAATCAAACCAAGATCTTGTGGTTCACAGGCCCGTGCTCAATCCACTGAGCTACACCAGCCAGGGTGAAACTTGTTTATTCTGAATGCAAAATTATAATAATGTTTTTAAATAAAAAATTAATATTCTAAATACAAAAGTATAATAATATTCTTTAATTAAAAATTAATAATATATCATGAATATTGTTCATTCTAATTAAATATTCTACAATGTAATTCTTAATGGTAGTAAAATAATCTATTGTATGGACATTTTATAATTCATTTTCTAATTCATGATAATATAGGAACATTGTTGGGCTGATGTTCCTATGTCGTCCTTACAAACAAGAATTATAAGGATATCCTTGTGGACTTTTAATATATCCATAATTATTTCATTAAGCTAAAGAAAAATCTATTCAAAATATTGTGCTTTTATTGTGTTATCATTTAATATTATTTTGGGATCCATAGACACTGCCAATATCTAAAATGAAATGAAAGTAACAGACATGAGCTAAATTCTTAAGAAAAAGTAAAGGCATAATTGTACACTATTTTTCACACCATTCATGATTCTGGATGAATTAAAGACCTAAATGTAAAAAAAGCATTAATAAAGACCCTGAAAGAAAATGTACTTATTCACATAATCTTTGGGAGGCAGGAGTATTTTAAGCATAGCAACAAAAACAGCACAAAGGAAAGCAAATTTAAATGAAAATATCTGTACCTTAAAAGCCAACATAATAACATGGAAAAGCAAATAACAAATAGGAAAATTATTTGTATAGCTATAGTAAATAAATATTATTAATATTTAAAGTATTCTTTCAAGTCTCTAAGAAACAGCTCAATAGAAAAATGAGCGAATGACACAAATGGTCAGTTTCCCCAAAACTGCAATGCCCAAAAAGCAAACAAAAAATTTCAATCTCAGTAATAATTGAAAACATGCAGGGTAAGCCAATGAGATACCTCTGTCCCTTTATCAAACTGGCAAAGATTTTAAAATCAAATTGGCAAAGATTTTCTAAACATTTCAGTGCGGTAGGAAACAGGACTTTTCATGCACCGCTGGTGGAAATGGAAATTCATACAACCTTCTTGGAGGGCAGTATTTCTTTTAAAAATGCAAACCCTTTGACCCTGCATTTCTAGTTTCAGGGATTTAAGCTAAGTTGGTGACTGACACTGATGTAGATAATTAAATTTAGCTGTATAGCTTTTCACCACTGTGTTGTTTATGTTGTTTACAGTAGTGATATGAAAACAATGCCCAGTGGAAGAGGCTAAATTATGTAATTATATCAGGAGACCTTCTCTCTCTCTCTCTCTCTCTCTCTCTCTCTCTATATATATATATATATATATATATATATACATCTATCTATCTATCTATCTATCTATCTATATGTATGTATATACACACACATACATACACACACACAGGTGCACGCACAATAAAATACAATTCAGCCATTGATACCCTAAATTAATACTTATTGAAATTGGAAGATATCCATAATATTACTGTTTTGGAAAAAAAGTAGTTTACAACAAAGGATGAAGTATATACTAATCCCATTCTTGAGAAAAAAATCATGAATCTTTATTTATCGAAAAAGGCTTGGAAAGAAATCCACAGAAGTGTTAACTGTGGTTATCTGTAGCTGCTAGAGTTACACATAATTTAAAATTTTTTGTTTAGTTTCTAATTTTTCTATGACAAAAATACAAACTCACTGTAAATTTAAAAACAGCACACACACTGATCCCAGAAAATCTCAAAAAAGAAGACACCCTAAAAGTCTCAGAGCAGTCAGATGGATGGGAAGGCCCTAAATGTACGGATGGTGTATGGGTAAGTTGGTGCAACCTTTCTAGAAAGCAATTTGACCACATTTCCAAGAGCCAAAAAAAAAAAAACCATACCCAATCATTCTGGTTTTAAGAACCTATCCAAAAGTAAAGATATATGGAGTGCTACTTATAATGAGAAATAGTGAACCTAATTTCCACAAAGGAGAATGATTATATAATGATTCCATAAGCTATGGGACATTAATGATGGACTCCTGTGTATACGCTTTTGAGAACCTCTAGGCTTGAAGGAAGACAGTCTGTGCATTTTTTTTTCTTTGAGTTCTCAGAAAGGTCTGTCTAGCTCTCACAGCTTAATGCTCTGTAACTCTATGACCTAGCTTTATATAACTCATCCCAAAAGTTTCCTTGTCAGGGAAGTTGTTTAAAACAGAACCTCAGCAATTTGCCCTCAAGTCTCTGCTACAATTGTGGTTTACATAAGCCTGGCCGAGTTATCCCATGGTCTCGTCTCCTGCTTTCTGTGAAATTACCCAGGTGGTTGTGTACAGTGGTGTGCTGGGGAATACTGTGGTAGGGGAGCTGATCTGGATGCAGCATTTGCCAATTTCTGTGGTGTAAGTATTCCCGCCATGGTGGACTCAAGCTACTAACAAGACATCACTGAACACAGAGTTGAGAAGAAATGTGCAGTAGTGGCACAGTGTTATATAGAATTTCCACCACACAGATCAGATGTGAATAAACACTGGAACAAAAATCACGGTTAAAATTAGTAAATGATTAGGAAGTGATGAATTTTTAGTATTATTGCCTTTATTTTTAATATAAAATATTTCATTGTAAGTTTATGTAATTTAACTTCCAGTAATGGCTGTGTTTAACATTTGGTTCACAGAGTTCCTGAAAATGTAACAGTTCTAAGCCAACGTAAGTGAGTTCTGGCATTACCACCAACACACCTCTTGCCCCAGCACCATTGCTGTGGGATTCGTGGCCTCCAGTGAAAACCTCTCCCTCCTTCCGTCTTTGTACAGAGTCCACCCCCATCAACTTGCTAAGTAGGCAAAAGTGGCCAAGGGCAACTTAGGTCCTTCCTTTTCTCACACAGTACTTCTTCCCTATCACTGTTCCCGCCCCACCCCCACCCTCACTAATGCTTTTTACTATTTCCTGCTCTTCCTTTCTCCTGTTCCAGGTCATGGTGCTCAGTCTGGGGAAAATGTCTTACAGTTTGTCATGTCTTGGTGTGATTTAGTTTAACTCTGATCATTACTTTTTTCAGCAAGAAAGTGGAACCTGTAAATAAAGCCTTGTAATTCTGGAATCCCACTGACCAATGTTTAAATTATAGCTTTCCTTTTAACTAGCTTTGTGATGTTGGACTGGTTAACTAACCTCTCAGAGCCTTACTTTTTCATCTCTCCAATGAGGAAAGTATCACTCGTCCCTCCCAGAGTTCTTCTGGAGATTAGATGTGATTGTGTATTCAAAGCATTTAACACAGAGCCTGTCATCTCGTAATCACTCAATACGTAGTATTTATATATTTGATATTTTATTTTTACTATTTTTGGGTGAAATGATTTGGGGTATCAAATAGTAATTTAGTGAGGCAGTTGAGAGAGGCAGGTACCTCTTTTTTCCCCCTCCCTATCAGGTGGCGCTCCCTTCTATCTAAAAATAACAGGGCTTTTTATTTCAGTGCCATAACTCATGCAAAGTAGCCCAGCAGCACAACCTCAGGGTAATTTTTTTCTGAGGTCATTGATATTTAAAGATGGTGAGGACCATGGAAGTGGAGGTTATTTTTAAGTAATAAAATTAGAAAAGTGTGAAAAACATGGAGAATTCCCCTTTACAGACTATTTTTTCTTTTTCTTCTCCTTCCCCCTTCCTCTCCTCTGCCTTTATAGCCTTCTTCACTTTTCTTCTCCTTTTCCCTTTTCTCCTTCTCCATTTCTTTTTTCTTCCACTTTCTCACTCAGTCTTAGACACTTTTATTTCTAGACACTCAAGAAACATTTAGTCTTTTTAGCTCCTGAGCTGATCTGAGAGCCCCTTAAGACTCTCACCTTCATGGCTTCTTTGTTGCCAGTCCTCTTCACCCGCACTTTGTTCTGGAATAGAGACGTGCATGTTTATTAGCTCAGAATCAGAAATGCTACCTCCAACAGCCAGTGAGACATAAATTATGAGTCACTAACTCTAGAACATGTGAACTATGTCTGTTCGTGCAGTCACTTAAGACTTTCAAAGTGTTGGCTTCTTCATGTGCAAAGTGGAAGTGGCCGGTCTTGCGGATCTGAGCTGCTGTGGGGACCTGATGAGACGGGCATGTGACAGTGCACTCACTGTAAAGGGTGAGGCGCTGAACACACACACGGTGGAAGTGACTTGTTTTTCTAATAACACATTCACGCGTAAGAGGCTTCAAACACACTTCTGAGATGATTTCCTATTCTGCCACTTACTGGTTCTATGGCATTGGGCAAATTACAGAATCTTTCTGATCCTTAGTTTTCTGACTTGTCAGTGGGCATAATGATAGCTCGCTTAGAGGATTGCTAGAAGGCTGAATAAATAGCATATTCAAGGTGCTTAGGAAGGGGGAAGACTCCATGCCTTTGAATGGCTAACTGTGGTTCAGTTCTGCAGGGGATATGAATGGTAAGCATTACCTTCTCACAGATCTGGTGTCTGGTTTAGCCAGACACAGGAAGTCGGGTCTGAGGAAAAGTGGGAAGAGACAGTTGTGGGTAATTGTGCCCCTTCAGCTCATCTCCTGTCAGCACTTTGTTCTTTTCTCTCTAGACACCCAGCTTGCTCTCAGATAGCGACCACTTAATTAGACCAAGGCCTGAACAGCAGAAGGGCCCCATTCAAAGCTAGTTTGCCATATTCTTCTCTATCCCTTCCCCATCCTATCTGTCTTTCAACTTAATGTTAGCTAATAGGTGATAAAATTGCTGCTCATCTTAAAGCCCTGATTTTTTATCTTTCAGGGTTGTATGTATTTACCAGGAAGTACGATCAAGGAGATTGCCACAAACCCAGAAGAAGCAGGGAAGTTTGTCTTTGAGATCATTCCAGGTAAGCAAGGAAAGGTGGAACAGAGCTATATTACATTCCCATCTTCTTTTGGATCCTGGAAGTCAGATATATTCAGTGAGTCTGTCAACAACTGGCCCACCAACATAATAAGGATTCACCGTGGTTCTGTATATAGTCAATGAACCTATACTAGTTCATTAACCAGCAAGTAGAATAAGTGGGTGTGCATTCGGTTCAACTCTGGATGCATTTCATGAGTGTGGACTTGGAACCAGGTGTTCCACTGGGCAGTGAGACACTGATCAGAAAAGTACATCCTCCCTGCTTACTAAAACAAGTGAAGTCTAGAAGGTGAGTGGGACATTAAAATTAATAGTTAAACTATAAATTGGACCATGTGAAATTGCCAATTTGGTAGGTAGAAAGTGGTCCACAGTCAACAGTTTCCTATGGTTCAGTGTGACCTAATAAGAAATGACAGCTCCAACTTACGGGGCACTTAGCATGTGTCAGGTGCTGTAATTCACGTGTTATCAGCACAGTGGAGGGTGCTTTTCCTGATCAAGAGTTACTTTACCTTCCTGGAATGCATAGGGGGCAAGGGAAATTTGTCTCAACTTGTCTCAAGGGGAGTTTGTTTATATTTGTGTGACTGTCACACTGAGGCTGCTTGTCCCTGTCTCTCACTCAGTTGACAGCACCAGCTCCGGCAGGAGCCCCCAAACTGCTGTTATGGCTGTGCAGCCAGGCTGCTGCTGCCCTGCTGACATGACAGGGGAAGCCACAGGGCCCCTGACACCCCTTCCCTTAACTCTTTCCTACCACTCACACAAGGCAACTGGGTGCACGTGAAACTTGATGGAGAAGGCCGCATAGTGCGGAGGTGAGACATGCCTGGTCTGGAGCCATCCTGCCCAGGTCCTGGCCCTGTCACTTACTGGCCCTGTCACTTACTGTTTGTGTAACTCTGATCGAGTTACCTAGTTTCTCCCTGCCTCTGTTTCTTAATCTGTAAAACGGAGACAATGGTGATAATAGTGAGGATTAAATAAAGAAATCTATGTGAAACACTTGGCAGAGTACCCAGTGTACCGTTAGTGCCATGAAAGTGCTTGTTATTTTGGGAAGAACTAGAGGAAATTATAATGTAGAAGCAGATCCTAAAACTGGCTATGACTATTTAATTTATTGAAATAAATTTATTTATTGAAAACAGAGAAAAATATGTGGGTTTTTTTTAAGTGCAGCTCTCCCCAGGTAGCCCTTCACAGGCACACTCTTGTTTTCTTATCTAAAGGTCTATCCATCTCTCTTCCTCCTCAGAGGAGGCACTTACTTTTTAGTCTTTCCTCTCCAGGAAAACCCACCCTTTTCCCAAGGGTGTCTTCCATTCCTAGCATCACTTCCCCAGAAAAATTCATGAGATGCAGCCATCCATGGTAACACATGTCCCAAAGCCTGGATTTTCAGTGTATGATAGCCCTACTGAAAGCTGCAGCTGCAAATTTACCATGGTCTTTGAACCGAAGTCCAGTAACCTCACAGACTGCTGTGCTAGGATAAAATGAAGATTTGTTCTGTCATTATCACTCATACTTGCGGCTGTCTCCTGGGCTACTGTGGAAATTTTAGACAAATCACATGTGCATACACACACACATAGAGTCTCATAAGGACAAACAACAATTCTAAAGCAATAATAAGGTGGGGAACAATTTGCCTAAAGGTGCCATCATTTCCAAGGCTCCTCCCAACCTAAAGTGAGACAACCCTTTAGGTTATGATGCAGGGAATTTCCAGTTCCTCTTTTTGTCATCCTCTTGTGCAAGATGATTCTCAGGGGCCATTGCTGGCATAAGAAATGACCTTCCTAATCGGGGCCCTCTGTCTGTGGTCATCAGTGTTAGTTCCATAAAGGTCACAGAGAAGACTTTTGTAGTTATGTTTTTCTTTATTTGGGACAGGCAAAAATTCAGGGCAGGATTCCCTCTTTCTATTACCTCTAGCAGAAAAATGATCTGTTCTCCTGCCCAAAGGGAGTCACCAGGGATAAGGGGGTTTATTTCTTCTGCTATGTTGCTTTTAATTCTTGTGCTGTCTTATTAGATGTCATTCATTTATTCAACAAATTTATTGAGCACCTGCTATAAGTCAGGCACTATTGTAGGAACTGGGAATCCAGCAAAGAGTAAAATAGCCTGCATGGGAGGAGACTGACAAAAAACCCAAATGATTGAGTAAATTCTATAGTTTTTATGATGGAATAGCACTATAGAAAACATTTAAGCAAAGAAAGAGAAGTACTGGTCAAGGTGGGATGGCAGTGATTGATTTGCCATTTTAAATAGAGCAGGCAGAGTAGGCATCATTGAGAAGGTGACCTTTGAGGAGAGATGGGAAGTAGCTGAAGGAGTAAGCCAAGTGCACATCTGGAGGAAGAGCACTCCAGGAAGGGGAACGGTCCATGCAAAGTCTCTGAGCCTATTTCACATGTTCAGGAAACATCATAGAGACCAGTGTGGTTACTGTGGAATAATGACGGGAAAGAAGAGTGGGAGATTGTCAGGGGTGAGCACAGAGTTTAAGGCACTTGCAGGCGATTGTAAAATGTTTAGTTTTTATTCTATAAGGATGGAAAGCCATTGGAAAGTTTTGAGCAAAGAGGTGACATGACCTGACTTATGTTTAAAAATTTTTTGAGCTGAGAATAAAAAGAGACAAGGATGGATCAGAGAGACCAGTGAAGAGGCTATTGCAATTATCCAAGTCAGAGATAGGAACAGTGAAGGAGTGAGAAATAATCATTTTAAGGATACAGTTTTAAGGTAGTGGGGACCATTTGCTGATGGATTGGATGTCGAGAAGACAAGTCAAGGCTGACTGCAAGGTTTTTACCTAAGCAATGGGAAGGATGCATTTGCTGAGATTTGTGCCCGTATCAAGTTTTTTTGGGGAAGATCAGGGTTTTATTTTGGGACATATTAAGTAATTACCTTGATATTAATGATAAGAATACTAATGTTCAGGATAATGTAGCTATCACTGTTAGAGAAGTAAGGGTAAAATGTTAAGGAATTTATAGAATAGGGCGTCCCCACTTAATTTGGAGTGAGAAGAGAAGATACTAATAAAGGGTCTCTAGAAAAGACAACATTTGAGCGAGGTTTCAAAAGTGAATGAGTTCCTTAGGCAGAGGCAGAAAATAAGGGAGGCTCCTTTCCGACAAGGAAAACAGCCCAATATGTGACATAGGTTGAACAAAATAAGTCAGAGAAAGTATGTCCCTGAGGGAAGATTTGCTATTCATGGGCTTTGTATTAATGTTAGGCAATTTCCCTAAAAGAGAACCCATCCTACCACCTCAATGTGCCCAAATATTTTTTATAGGGCAACAAAAGATTTTCAAATTCCTTTTGGTTCTGGTTTCTTGAACCCGTATTAATATCACTGTGCATCACCTTCTTTACTCTTTAGGATGACCCAGTTTTGGATTAATCTTGTCATTGGGTTATCAGATTTTCTAACCAGAAGGGTAAGTACATGGAAGCCCTGGCTACTCCAAGACATTTTGAGAGCTGGATGTTTCTCAATGGGGTTGCCATGATCTCTTAGGAAACGGGGTAAACAAAAAAGGCATGTTCTTAATAACACAGTAGATTAGAGTGTAGGCATTGAGGGGAAGGATGCCATATGAATTTTGGCCAAGGTAAAATTTGAAGCAATGTGGGCTAGTGGAAACTCTTGGTAAAAGGGAGACCAAGAGCCTTGCCCTGAGTTTGGCAGTACTTAACTGGGTACAAATGAGCAGGTGCCTTGGCATTTCTGGGCCTCATTTACATTATCCGTAGAGTGGAAATGATACTAGAGCAAAGGGCTGTTGTGATTTCTATGGAAAATTTTAGTTTTGACCTGAGAATGTTTTGCTTCCCATTCTACTTTTGGAAACACCCAGGTCTCAGGATGTTCCTGAAGAGCCAAGACTTCCATGGACTGACACTTCTGCTCAGAGGGGCTGATGACCCCATGATAAGGTCAATTCAAAATTAGGTCATCACAAAGGGTAAAAGAAGGCAAGGCTTGGTGACATTAAGATAAGTTCAAGAGACCAGAACCAATGGGAAGTTAAAAGTCTTTTTGTTTTCCTGCAAGAAAATATAGGTTTGACCACAAAGGTAGTGCTAAAACAGGCTCCCTTTGAGGGAAGTGCCTGACATTGAGAGAAGAATGGGTTGATGTCTATGAAGGTGCTTTGAAATGATAATAGTATCTTGTAATTGAAAGGGATCGCTATTATTTTTTTGTCTTTCCTAAGACCCACGTATGATGCTGTCCTTCTTCCTCTCTTCTCCTTCTCTGTCCCTATTTTTCTCTTTTGTCGCTTTTTCTCATTTTCTTGGTCTTCTCCCCTGCCACATCCACCCCCCTGTCATTTTCTCTACCCCTTCGTCAGTGTGAGAACACCAATTCAGGAAACACTACACATATCTGTTTATAATCTTGTGTTTAGAGTAAACACAAGATTTAATGGTAAAGAAAGTCCTAACAAACTTCATTTGTCCTTTAGATATGTATTGAGAATTTACCATCTGCCATGTCTTGTGCAGGCAGGAGAGCAGTAAGTAATCCTGAACAGGAAGCACTGATTTTGTGAGAAAGGCACACATATGTTTATTGTCACTCCCCCGCTGAGCTGCTGTTCTCTTCCCCACCCTCACAACTGAGTTTAAGGCTAGCTTATGAAGTACCCGTGATTGGCACAAGGAACTGAAGTCTTCAAATCTGGATGGGCCAATCTCTTCTCCTCTAATACTGAAACTGCCTCATGCATTTCCTCTTCCTTTTTCATAGCAAATGCTCCTGCCTCATAGCTGGCCCTGAGCATTCCTTTTACCTTATTTGATTCAGGAACCAATTCCAATGTGGTTGTGTAGATGATTCCTACACGTCTTCCATGGGAGCAGCACTCAGCCCAAGTCATCCTGATTGCAAACTATTATGGTCAATGGTTTGTCTATAGAATTAGAGCTTCAGCAAAAAACAATCAAGAGTACACAGATATTCAGTGCCACTGAGGATAAGTAGATAATGCTTTGGTGTTGTCTGACTGGTTTTTTTGTTGAACCAAGGAAGCGATTCAGATGCAGCTTCTTTTTGCTTTGCCCTGCACTAGCTCCTTACCACTCTGAGACCTTCATTATTGTTACTTCTTCCTCCAGCTTCATGGGACCAGAGTCGCACGGGACAGGACTCCTATGTCCTCATGGCCAATTCCCAGGCGGAGATGGAGGAGTGGGTTAAATTCCTTAGGAGAGTTGCTGGCACACCCTCTGGAGGTAAGGACTCCGGCAGGCTTTTCTGGTCAGGTGTCTGTAACATCTCAGGGATGGGGAGGAAGTAGCTCCAGACATGATCTTTCCTTGAACAATGTTCAAAGAAGACCAGAGGACAACTCTGAGGCCATACTTATTGTCGAACCTCTAGCTTTCCTCCCCAGGTGATCTCAGCTGTTGTCTGAAGGCCACCTGTGATCCCAGGATCTGGGGCAGGGAGGCAATTCTGTGCCCTGTAACCTCTCCACTGGGGGCTATAAGAAAAGTGACTTGGATGAGACAGCCAAACTCAAGAGTGTCTGCCTTAGTCTACCTGAACAGTGGCAATCTATTACAAAATAGTTTCCATTTACTATTTCCCACTTTCTAAACACAACATTTTTATGGTGTTAATCAGGCTGAGATGAATCTTTTATTTACTAAAGCTCTATTATATGCTATCCAGCCTTCATAAGCTTAGCTTCTGCCTTCCTTATTGCTCTGTATTGTGAAATTGTTGACATTGTCCATTTTCCCCAGCCCAGTGCTTCAGGCTGTCTGTATTGACAAGGGTAGTAGATATTGTCTAATTATTCACCTGCTCTGAGTCAAAGTACTGTCTGCGTGCGTAATCAGCATCTGTGTTCGTGTGGTGCTCGGCTCAGTCTTGCTGCCACAGTGAACTGCAGCACTCTGTCATAATCTACATGGGGTTTCTACCTCCTCTCACCCCAAGGCCACCACCCTGAGAAGCAAGTCAAGCATAAGTCCTGTGGGCAGGGGAAAGTCCAAGGGAGGGGAAAGAAGGGTACAGCACTATTTATTTATTCAAGGAGCAGGGTTTGGCTCTTATGTGGCATTTCAGATGTTCTTTAAGCCTCTCATTGAACCCAAAATGGTAGACCTCAGGAAGAGAAGACATTTGAAGGCAGCAGAGTTCAGTTTGAGGTTCCAGAGCAAGTCAGACATATGGTCTTCCTGTTTGTAAGTCAGGAAACTTCAGTCCTTCAGAAGTAAATGATTTGTCCAAGGGGCTCAGCTAGGGAGGAGCAGGGCCAGGGCTCCTGCCTGTGTGGTTGGCTCTCTTCTCCACATCAGGATGGCACTTGTAAAATGCCCCATGGTGTCTGCTAGGTGGGCAGGGCATGCACCCTCCACCACTGGGAAGGCTCTGAGAATATTGCTGCTGCCTTATTGCAATGCTTTGTGAAACTTTCTATGGCTTTTCACACTCAGAACCTCCCCACTACTCACAACCTTCACTCCTACCATCCTGGCTGAGGTGCCACACTGTCTTGTCTGAATTACAGTCTGTTTTCAACAGAGCAGTCAGAGTGAACCTGTTAAACCTGTCTGTCATACCAAGGTCCTTCTCCACTCAGCACTGTCCAATAACTTCTTTTCTATCTTGAGGAAAAGTCAAAACCCTTATAATGACTCATAGTGTACAATCTGCCCCCTCCATTATCTTTGACCTTGTTTTCCAGAATCTTCTTCCATGCTCATTCCTCTCCAAATTCACCAGCTTCCTTGCTTTTCTCCAAAGAAGAAAAAATGTTTCTGATTTGGGGTCCTTGTACTTGCTGTTTCCTCTGTCTAAAATTCTCTTTCCCCAGGAAGCTGCATGGTTTGGTCTCTTGCTTTCTTCAGGTCTTTGTTCAGACATCACCTCAATGATCCTGCCCTCGATCATCTCATTTAACATTGGACCCTTCCCCACGCTACTCCCAGCCTTCCCTGTCCCCTTTTCCCACTTCACTTTACTCCTTGGCATTGACCTTCTAACATTTTTACCCATTTGTTTTGTTCACAGTTGGCCTCCCCTCACTAGAATGAAAACTTCAACTTATTTTGCAGGACCTTCCCCCTCTGTTTTGGGCAGTGCTGGATCTCAGAATGTAAACAGAGAGGGTGCTCAGTAAATATTTACGAAATGAATGGGCAAAGGAATGGTCCCTCTTCCCATAGCAGCACTGTGTTCTTCTCCCCCGGGCTCTCCAATTTCTTAAGTGACGACCAGCTTATCTGCATTATTCAGTAAATGAACAGACCCCTTAAACAATTCAATAAAAGCTTTAGATACTCTCCCCAGAAAAATGTTCAGACAAAACCATTTTGAGTTCAACTGCAGGATAATTTCAGATCCCTGTTGCTCATCTATACACCTTAGGTAACGAATCTCAACTTTGAGTTTTGGAAGTCATTCTGGTGATAGTTGCGCAATGCTTCCTGTCCCAGCCTCCTTTCTGGCTCCTTTTTTCCCTTTATGGGAGAAATGGCCTACACGGTTTCCAAAACATACCCAACTTCTTCCCTAAGGCTCCTCCTGCCTCATAGCTGGCCCTGAGCATTCCTCTCACCTTATTTGATTCAGAAACCAATTCCAATGTGGTTGTGTAGATGATTCCTGCACGTCTCAGACACCAGCTCTGTGTTCTACAGTTTAACTCAGTTCTGACAGTGTACTCAGAGATAGCATCAGGCCCACAGGTTAAGGGCTCAGTCCGACGGGACTGACCTTAATCACATACATGCTTTAGATGCAAGCCCAGATTATCACCTGTGCTTCTGAACAACTGGCTATAGACTGGAGGTTTCAATGACCCCTTTCTTGGATTTGATTAATTTGTTAAAGTGGCTCACAGAATTGAGTAAACCAGTTTACTGGCTGGATGAGAGTTATTATGAAAGGATGTAACTTGGAAATAGCCAGATGAAGGAGGGGTGTAGGGCAACGTGTGGAGAAAGGGACATGGAGCCTTTATGCTCTCTCCGGGAGCTTTGCTCTGCTCTGCTTACATCTCCATGTGTTTACTGCCACAGAAGCTCTCTGAACCCTGTCCTTTGGGGTCCTTATGGAGGTCTCATAACACAGGTATAATTGGTTAAATTATTGGCCATTGGCAATTGATTCAACCTCCAGGCCCTCTCTCCTCTCCCAAGTTCTGAGTTCGGACGGTGGGACTGAAAGTTCCAAACCTCTAATCACATGGTTGGTTCTGCTGGCAACAAGCCCCTCGCCCCATCCTTAGGTACTTTCCAAAAGATAAAAGACACCTTTAGAACTCGTGTACAGGAAATTCTGAGTTTTAGGAACCCTGTGCCAGGAAAGGAGTCAAAGACCAAATACATATTTCTTACTATCGATCACACCTAAGAGAGCAGCACCTTACTCGGAAGTACTGGGTGCAGTTCCAGGGTTTCCCGATTTAAGTGGGAGAAAAGGAGAGGAGATCACATCTCCGTTTCTGTTCCCAGGCTCACAGCTGGCCATTTTCTCCAAAACGTCCCCTTCTTTTAGCAAGAAGGCTCTGCCTTCCCTGGATTCCCACATTGAAACCTGGTCTCTGTCACATCCCCAGGGAGCAGGCAGTTCATGTTGCAAACTGTTACTCAGTCGGGACCTGCTTTGCCCTCTTCCTCTGCAGCCTGGCCATCTGAAATTTGTTCCCAGGCCATTGTCGGGTGCATAAGCACTGCACTAAGTTGCGCACAGCTCTGCTCGGGCCAACTAGATTATAAGACCCCGGGGTAGGTCCCATGTGTTAAGTGTCTTTGTGTGTTTGCCAACACCAGGCATAGAATATATGAATATTGAATTGTTAAATGTCTAGGTTCCTTTACTTCCTCCCAATTTTAAGTTCTGTGGCCTTCAGTACATGATTTCACAATCTGTAGCAGAGTTTAGCTTGTGAGAGTATGCTGGTGCTGTGATTCACTGTTATTCCATGTGTCTGGTTCTTTCTCTTTAGCTAAACTGGACATTACGAGGGATGATTTTTACTTATTTTTGTTAATTCCTTCATCCCTCTTCCCTCAGGTCCGAACACCAGACAGATACAAGTGTATTCATTTGCTTAATAAATGTTTCCTGATCATGTGTCATATGCCAAGCACTGTACTAGCACCAGGGGTGCGACAGTGAGAGAGATGGGGATAAAGACAGAGGGCAGAGAGAGCAAAAGGAAAGAGGAAGTCTGTTCTCTCGAGGAGCTCACAGTATAGCAGAAGACAGAGAAGTTAACTTTTAAACATCTGAAGAAAACCATAAAATTACAACTCTAAAGAGTACCACAAAGGAAAAATACATAACAGGTGGGAGGGGATTGTGTTTATCAAGAAACTCAGGGAAGCCCTGAAGTAGTGAACAGCTTAAATCTGAAGGACCAATAGAGGCTAAGTAGGCAGAGAAATGGGAAGAGGAAGTGGCTCAGTCAGAGAAATAGCATGGGCAAAGGTCCTGTGACGGGAATAATAGGCTCTGGATTGAGAGGAAGGTGATAATAGTGGAAATAGCCTTGTTAAAGATGTTAGTCTTCGTTCTAAGGTGGCTTGGAAGAGGGGGGAGTGGTGGGGATAGAGAGAAGTAAATAGGTTTGTGAAATATTTCAGAGGTTACATTGTCAGGACATGGGAATGAATACACCATGAACGAGAATGTGGTATCCAAGACGAGTCCTCTATTCCTGGCCTGTGAGTGAATGGAGGGATGAACACTGGGTTGGCAACATCACACTGCCCAGGGCCCTTCCTGGCAATCCTCCCTGCTCCTGTCAATCTGTGCCCCCACCCCCATCTCCCACCCTAGTGATGCCAAGAGTCCATTTCAAGTCTCCTGGGTCTGTCTGGTAGGGTTGCTGCTCTATTTGCTAAACCATCTCAACGGGAGGAGGAAAATCATCTCAGTTTATCCAACAACCCACATCCAAGACCTCTCTCTGAAGGCTTGACTGAACCACCTGCAGCGTTGAAAGCATTTCCAGGGAAGGGTGGGCTGGCTTCATCAATGCTAAGTGAAATTCTGTGTTCCTGCCAGATGCTTTGATATATGGGGCAATGCTGGTAAGGGCTTGTGGGAGGGATTTTTTTAACCCACCTCCATGGTATCCCTTGAATGGCAGTTGGCAATTAGCTGCTAAGTAAAAGGAGGCACTTATTTTTATTGTGGGCCCTGACAGCTTTATGTTCACTCTTTAAAAGCCAAGAGTCATGTGTGTAAAGGTGAGTGGGGAGGGGAAGTGGTG